CATTTACTTTGACAACTACACAAAATCACTACTCCAACACCCAAAGCACACCATCTTGCAACTCCATCTTCCACCACTTCTAACTTGCAACCAGATCCTCTACTCACCATCAAGATCCGTCGAACAACAACCATAACAACAAAACCTCCAACAGATCTACACCTTAGCAACTTCCGACCAGATCTCATACGAAACTTCTTCGATCCGCCACCTCCTCAAGCTCACGGTTCACCACTCTCCTCTCTCCAATTTTTTACACCACAAACTCATCAGATATGAACAAAACTCTGAATCTAAAAGGTTCAAGCTACACCATTTCACGAAGTCGAAGGATATGAAGACGGGAGGGTCATGTTGCACCATTCGCATGAAGTTGATGGAGAGGGAGATGGAATAAAGTAGATCAAATATTAAGCTTGTGTTCTTCCTTTCATGCGAGGGAATGCAGTGGAAGAGAACTGTATCAGGAAGAAGATAACGAAGTGCATCATAATTGATGATTCAAAAGTCATCGATGCTTTTTCTCACTCCTAATTTAAAGCTTCCATCATCAGTAAAAACCATTTTCTAACGATTCTGATAGCTAATTATTTTCCGATTTCACGTGTTAATGCTCTAGAAGCTACAAATTTGATTCTGATATGTTTTGTTTTTCTGATATGTTCAATGAAGATTCTTTTGATTCTGTTTTCAATTTTGTACCGTGTTCGATTTTATTCCCCGAAATTGCAGTTGAATTTTATTGTCGTTTTGAAATTATTGATTTTGATATATTTGTTTTATCTGATATCTGATATTTGTTTTATCTGACTTTTTTTTGGTTGATTCTGATATATTTGTTTTATTTGAGGTTTATTTTATTATCTTTTGCTTGATATATATATATATATATATATATATATATATATATATATATATATATATATATATATATATATATATATATATATTATATATATATATATATATATATATATATATACAAAAAATACTCTCATTTGCAACGTTAATTTCATGTTATAACTTGAAAAATCATGGCACAACAAATTATTTACGACGACGTGATTTCCATGTCACAAAGTTGTGACGTGAAAATCACGTCACAACATAATTTTATAGAATTAAAAGCGTTGCAGAAAA